AATCAAACTATCCGACGTGCACCTGATTAATGCAGGTGCTGGCGCTAGTGATGACCGAGGAGGTGCCTCCATTGGGCTGCCGGGGAGGCGGCAGATGCAAATAAATATTGGCTTGACCCGACGCCAAATCTCCCCCTCGCCTGGCTACCCCTGTCCCCTTGCCAGGGGTGGCAGGTCCATTCCCGGACATGGGCCCAGTACGACCGGGCCACGAGCCAGTCCAAGTGTACCAACCAGAGCAGCGCAACGCAACGCAATGGAGGAAGGGGAGGAAGGTACGTAAAAAAAAAATATTAAAAAAAAAAAAAGGTTCTTCAGGGCCCGGCCATCTGTTAGGAAATACGACTTATCCCCCCGGCTACCTGCCCATCGCCCGCGCTCCACTGTATTGGCCCGTTCACGGCCCACCTCGTTTATGTTTTGTTCCTGGTCTTCCGCCGAGGTGCGAAGCTGCACCCCCCTGACCTCGCTTGCTTCCTTGCCCAGCCTACCACGCCTGCCACCACGAGGGCGAAGCCTGGCAAGCCGATATTGTTGCCATCTTACCACCCCCCCCCCCCCCCTCCCCCCCACCTCACCCACTCGTCGTCCACTTGCCGCCTCCTTCATAACCTCTGCACCTCCCTCCCCAACCGGGGATCGTTGCCGCCCTTCAAGAGCCCCAGCTTGCTTACTTGGCCAACTCACCAAATTCAACCGAGCCTAACGACCGACGATTCGACTGTGGTGGGAGGACCATCGAACAGCTGTCGACTTGCACAACCTCCTGGGTCGACGCTTATAGCCCGCCCCGCCGAAGAGCTTCCAAGCATCACCTTCAGCCGACGTCGAGACGACACTTCAAGACTCTTCGGTCATCTTTGACCGAATCCGTTCGTTAATCAGTCACCTTCGTTGGTAGACAACAGCCTCGCAACCCACCCTCACCCCGTGGAGTGGTGTTCTCCTTTTTCCTTGGTGCCATCTAATTATCCACCATCGCTTGGGTGATCTGGTCGATCGCCGCCGAGAGATAATCAACGCCGATCAACGTGGGGTTCCCCAAGAGACCAACGCAACACCGTCCGTTTCTGCCAGAGAAGGCCTTCTCACTCGACTTGCCGCCTGCCACAGGACAGGATTATGTTCTGTCTCTTGCACCTGCGTATCGCAGCTTCATCATGATGGCACCCGCCTCTTTCACCATGCCTTCACTATCCATCCGCCCGCCACGGTCACTATGGCTTTTCCTTTCCATTGCGATCGCCTCCACGGCGCTAGCCTCGGCCCCCTCTTCGGACGCCCTCCCAGCTCTAATCACCGCTCCTGCGGCGATGCCTCCCACGGACTCCCTCGTCGTCGACGGCCGCACGCCCATCATGATCAAGGGCCGCTGGACCATGGTCTCGCATGAGTACGCCGAGCTGAAGAAGCGAGACGAGGAGAGCACCACGCCCTCGCCGACCACCACTGGCACGGCAACTCTCCAGCCCACGACACTGACCGTCTCGGTGACGGTTCCCGCTGCCACGGTGGACCTTTCGTCGCCACTGCCCTCGCCCTTCGACACCAGCCTCACCTTCAACTTCACCAGCAACGACGGCGCCTCCTGCCCCCGCTTCATCAACTCACTCCTTACGAACCAGAACTTCAAAAAATGCTACCCGCTCTCCATGCTGCTCCAGGTATGTATAAGTCGTCGGGCCGCGTACGACGTCAATTAACTCGCGTAGGGCTCTAAATCATTCTTCCAGGCGGAAAGGCAGCTTCTGAGCATCGTGCGTGTGCTCGACGCCGCCTGCAGCGCTGATGTCGAATACTGCTCCGGCTTTCTCAACGGCGTCGCCGGCAACCTCACCCTGGACGCCAACTGCGGCTCCGACTACCAGAGCGGCAACCCTATCGTCATGCAGGCCTACCTCGGCCTGAAGTCGTATGAGATGCTGTACAAGGCCACCTGCCTCACTGACCCGGACACGTCCATGTACTGCTTCGCCAACGCCGTCACCAACCTCTCCACGCCCGCCAACGTCTACTTCTATTACCTCCCGCTCAACCTGACTCTCCCCGCCAGCGCGAACCCCACCTGCGGGTCGTGTCTCCAGCGGACCATGGACATCTTCCAGACCTACACTATGAACCGCCAACTTCCCATAGCGTCAACGTACGAGGACGCCGCCACGCAGGTCAACTTAATATGCGGCCCCGAGTACGTCAATGACACGCTCCTGGCCGCCGTGAGCATGGCAGTGCTGTCGGCGCCGTCGTGGACCCTCACGGCGACGACGCTAGCCCTCGCCGCTGCCTACAACTTCCTGTAGGTCGTTCTTGGCGTCCGTCTGCTGGACGGCAGCGCAGCGGCCGGCGCCGACGGTTACGAGTCATGCTTTGAGTTCTTTGATTTTGCAGCAAGCGCCATGATACCCTTCGACATTCTCCAACATTCACATTTGGTAATTCTATTCGTCACATGGTCTGAGTCTCTCGGTCATGGAACTATTTATTGGTCTAGTTGTTTCGGTTTGCGCTCCGATATGGGAAGGTAGAAGATCTGGGTTCCGAGGGACGGCTTCGGTTCGGGCGGTCTCGTGATACTGAGACAAACACGTCGCCGCCAAGGCGGGGATGAGACGGCGCTCTCACCAGGGATATACCGTCGGTCATGAACACGACGGCTATTGGCATCCGATGAGATGCAACACACATATAATCTTCGCACGGTGCGACTGTTAATACCATTCTTGTAGATACCCTTTTTCCCCACTTGTCGTGAGGGCGGTTTCAACCTCGGGGTAGAGAAAGACAGGTTCATCGCAATACTACCTACCCATTTAGACCCTCATGAGCAAGTCGAATGACATGATGTCTTCGTCGAGGTGCCCGTGCTGGGCCGGACGCGGATATGCCCATCGTCTGAGTGGTTTTGAAGCGTCGCTAACGGTCCTCGTCTGTTGTTCCTCACGATTATAGGGAGGTGGGCGACATTGCAAGGGGGGCTTCACATATCAAGCTCGCCATGTCCCGGTCTTTGATGCGGGCTGCTCTCGGGAACATTGTAAACATCCAGGTGTCACCATAGCACTTGGGTTGGAATGCTGGGCCTTTGATCTATTCCAGGAGCTCGACGTGACATTCATTCATTAATGTAGATACCATGACCCGGACTCACCCATTCAGCCCAAGCCCCTCGAGCTCCTCCCTGAGAAAGTCCACGGGGCGGAAGGTGCTGTTGAAATGGCCCAGCTGCAACACCCGCACCGGCACGCTCTCCTCCGCGACGGTCTTGCTCTCGGCCCTAGCTCGCTCGGCCTCGATCTGCGCCACGCTCTTGACCTCGGCAAAGTCGCCCTTGATGCCGCTCTTCTCCTCGCCCCAGATCTCGAAGAAGGGGTAGCCGCTCTCGGCGTACGATTTGGCATCAATGGGCGTGTCGAGGGCCGGCTGGCCAGTGACGGCGCTGAACGACTCGACGTCCAGAATTTGGAGGTTCAACATCACCGAGGCCTCAACGTCCCAGATATCGGCAGGGTGTGTGTCGGCTTCTATCGTCTGTTTGATGAGGCCGCCAGCCGCGAGGCCCATCTCCTTGACCTCCGGCGGGGGTGTTGCATGCGCGGACGGGGCCATGCTTCGCTTGCTGAGGCTGTGCTCGAGCACCGCGGCCCCATCCGGACCTGTGTCCGCGATCACCTGTGGGGCAGCAGCAGCAGCCGCCATCATAACCATTGGCGGCCCACCGCAGCGTGCCCTCATTCCGTATCTCATGGCGCCACAATGCTGCCGGGACTGATGGCTAATACTGAGCGCCGAGAACTTGGGCGGAAAGTATACGTCACCGAGCTTGGCATCGTCCGACAAGTCGAAGAATGCGGCTCCGAAGTGACCAGAAGCTGCGCGGTTCCCGTAATCGCTGAGGACCTGCTCCTCGACGGCGATATCAAACTCAGCACTAACGAGCTTCTTGACGTCCCTCCAGGTGCTCTCGGTGGTGAGGCCTTTCTCGGCGAGGTTGAAGGTGCGGGTGATGACCTCGGAGTTCCTGTTCTGGTATCGAACATCGAACTCGGCGGGCAGTTTCTTCTTGACGGGGATGAGCTCGATCTGGATGCCGCCCACCTTCTCGTCCCCGGTGACCTGTGCCTCGACGGAGAAGCCGGACCCTTTGGGTTGCGCGACAAACTGCCGGATCTTGCCGTCCTCGGAGACGATGCCATACAGCCAGTTTTGCTCAGGCACCACCACGTAGTCCTGAATCGGCTGCCCGCTTCTGAGCATCTTCAGCCTTTTCTCTTTGGTCTTTTCGTTTTCTGTCATGGGGAATCCGGAGACGGCGTTGACGCCGCCGACGTAGATCTTGATGGCGAACGGCGCCCTGGAAGAGAAGCCGATCCACATGGCCTCGCGCTGGTACATGGGGAAGAAGACGCCGCCCTTCTTGGCCATGTCTTCGGGCATGTTGTGTGCGAAGTCGCGAACCTTGAAGAGGGGGAAGTTCCCCATGCCAGGGGGCAGATTGTTGGTGTCTCTGTTGTCGGGCACACGAATGGTGCGGTTCAGGTGAATGGACAGGGCATCCCTGTTGCCGCCATGGGAGACGCGTATACTGTCGCCGAGGAGAACCGTCACCTTTCGGTTGTTGGCGACGGGCTCCTGCTTGGTGCGGATCTCGGGCATGACCTCGACGGTCTCGTGGTCGGCGGTCTGCGGCATTTTGGATCGTGTTCGTGGCTGTTCAACAGTGGAGGGCAATGATGAGGACGTCTGTCCAGGAGCCTGCGGCTCCTCCTTATATCTCGGAAAAGAGGCTCTAAGGTAGGCAAGCAATGAGACGCAGTTGGTAGCGTCCTTTGGACGCATAGCCCGAGGCGTTCTGATTGGTCGCTATTTCCAGATTAGGAACTCGCCGTCCCCGCTTTTTGAAGACTGAGCCTGTGCACGGATCAGACGCAGCGAGTTTTACGCAGCGGCGCATTCCGCTGAGGCAGGTACCGCCGCGCGCATTAGAAAAATAAAAATAAACACCCAAAACCGGCCTTTCCACCTTTCTTGGCGGTGACAAAAAAAAAAATGAGCAATGTTAGTGGACTCCGCGTAGGTGCATAACTACCTATTTCTTTTGTAAGGGAGCTGAGTGCTTGACGAGTAGGCAGGCACTCGGACGGAGCAGCGACTCCGGACTTGGCGGCACGAGTCGACCCACACGGGACCCGGGGCTGACGGCCACTGAGCGGCACGACAATCCAACGTCAAAGGCCGACGGCTTCTCGCCAGAACGCCAGCAAATGCATGCCCGGTGAGAGTTCCGTCATCATGCGCTGTTGTGGTAAAGCCAGGCACCCGGCGTGGTGGCAAGGCCTGCTCGTTGTTATGCCACGGGGACATGCCATTCATCATTAATGCTACGCAGTCATGTACTTCGCCTCGGACGATCTAGCCTACGGTTCGTCCGATCATGAAAGGCATCTGCGGCCATGCAAACACCGTTGCAGAACAGGTCCTGGCTAGAGCTTTTTTTTCTTGTCGGCATGCTGCTCGGCGCTGCCCTCGTCGGCACTGCGCTTGGCCGGCGTACTCTCGTCTCCCGTGGGCTCCGCCTTGACGGCCGGATGGTCGTCCTCCGCATGGTCTGCGCGCTCGCCCTGGTCGCTCTCGAACTCGTCCATCATCTCGGTACCCTGGCCCGCGAACAGCTCACGCCAGCTGCCGTCCAGGACCTTGTCGTCGTTGCCGTGCAGGCCGACCTCATAGGCCTTCTTCATCGCCGCCAGGCACGCCGTCCTTCTCTCGTTAAAGTCGAACATGGGCTTCGGGTAAACCCCCCTTTCCTGCGTCTCCCCGCGGCCGGTCACCCTGACCCCTGCCTTCTTCTGGTCTGGCAGCGGAGCCTTCCACGGCTCGTAGATGTATTTGGCATCCAGGTCCTTCAGCTCCGGCACCCAACGCCGCACATAGGCTCCCTGCTTGTCCCATTTCTGCCCGAACGAGACGGGGCTGTAGCAGCGGAAGTACTGCGAGAAGAAGGCTGTGCAGCTGAGCCACTGCCAGTTTCCTGCGTTGCACGCGGGCTCGTGGTCGAGAAGCCACTCCTCAAAGACTTCGCAGCCGCGCTCCCAGTGAATATAGCAACCCCCTCGCGTTAGGAAGCAGGCGACCGAGTGGCGGCCCAGGTGGTGGATCCAGCCCTCCTCGCGCAGCTGTCGCATGAGCGCGTCAATCCACGGAAACCCCGTCATCCCGTACTTCCACCGCCTGAACCACTCGTCCGCCTGCGTCGAGTCGACGTGGTACTCGCCGGTGACGAGACCCGTCTTCGCATCGACCTTGGACGGCAAGTGCCACGGGATGAAGCGGCAGTAGGGGTTGTTGGCAGTCTGTGTGAAACTGTAGCCCAACGCAGCGTGCGCCGCGAAGTACATGTCGCGGAAGAACAGCTGTCCGAGCAGGCTCTCCGGCACCTTTGACGCTCCCTTGCCGTACGCGTCCACGACGGCCCGTACCCTCCAGTAGAACTCGCGCACCGACAGCGCCCCAAAGTGCAGAAAGGGCGACATGAATGTCGTCGACTGCGGCTCGAACGCTGCGGGGCTCGTCTTCGGCTTCTCAAACGTGGCCGTGTACTTCTTGTCCGCCAAAATCTCCTCGAGCATCCTGAGCGCTCGCGTCTCTCCGCCCCTATGCGGCGTGCTGGCCGGCGGAAAACCCAGCTCCTGCATCGTCTCGATTGCAAAGTCGCCCTCCGGACCCGCGATTTTCGTGTAGGCCGCGTCCCCTTCCGTCCGCTGCTCCGCGTTGAAGTCGGGCTCCGTCTCGGGTGGCGTCTGCCCAAAGTCCACCGGCATCTCACCCGGGTTCGGCAGGCTCTGCGGTGCGGGAATCGGCTTCGCTATGGGCCCGACCTTGGCGCCGGCCGTCTGGAGCTGCGATATGGACATGGTCGGCTTGCCGCTGTGCTTCGCGACGACGGCGTCGCTGTCCCACAGCGTCCGCCCGCTCTTGACTATGACCTCCACACCGGCCTCGCTGGCGGCCCTCATCACGACCTCATCCCTCTCGCGCGCGTACGCGTCCGTGTCCTTTTCAAATACCAGGTGCGTTACCTTCCACGCCTTGAAGAGCTTGGGGAACAGTGTCTGCGGACCCTCACGCAGGACAAATAGCTTGGACCGGGGGTTCAGCTTGGTAATGCTCTCCGACAGGTCATTTTGGCAATCGAGTCTGTGCGCTCCGGTAAGCTTGGGAGGCGTCCGGCCCGCCGGGAGACGTACAGAAACTGCCACCGGTTCAGGCCCCCGCGGGCGCGGTAGACATAGTGCGGATCCCAGGTGAAGATGGGCCAGAGGACGGCCGGGTCGAGGCCGAGGGCAGCTGCGAGGGCGGGCGAGTCGTGCAGGCGGAGGTCGGTCCGGAACCAGTAAATGACACGCGGTCCGGTGGCCATTGTGGTGAGAGGCGAGGGATGAGCGTCACAAATGATGACGAGTGAGCGAATTCTGGAGATCAACAATATAACGATCAGATCAGCATGTTGCGAAATGACAGGGAGCGTGCGGCGCGGCGCGCGCGTCTAGACTGGGCTTCCGCTGCGAGAATTTGGCGCAGAGTCAATGATGTCAACGACTCTCTGCAACGCGACTGAGCAACGGGGGTCCCCCTCCAAAAAAAAAAAAAAAAAAAAAAAGGTCCGGGGTCGGGTCCGCCAAACGGGAAGTCGTACAAGTTGATTTACGATCCGTCCATCCGCCCTGCATTCCCGAAAGCTTAGCGGCTCCCGAATCGCGCGGCGAACCGCGGCCCAAGTCCCGGGTACCCTGATTCGCGGTGCTGCAGATCGTCTTTGGATGACGGGATACGGTTGCAGACAATCACCAGAGACACACGCATACCTTCGGAGGCTCCCCCGCCGACTCCGAACGAAGACGCCTCCTATCTCGGGCCGAAGGTCATGAGCACATGTTCACGAGTTGAGGGGGTGCAACGACGGCCCGGCAGCCGGATAGAGATCGGCGGCGCCAGCGACGCCCGAGGCGCGAGAATGGGGCCATGTCTAAGTCAACATCCCGAAGCGGTTCACGACCTACCTCCCTTGCCTGCTCGCTACGGTTAGCGGCGTCGCCAGGTTTCGCCTCAGCACTAGGCATGTGTACTAATGTCAGAGATAAGGAGGTACTCGGTATTTCATTGACTTCATCCGGTGCCCGGCGAGGAGGTAACGGCAGACCCTGTACACGTTTGGGAGAGGCGAGACCATTCTAACTAAATGATGTACCCTCTTTCCGCCGGTGATGCAGCCGAGTCCTCAAGAGTCAAACACCCGTCAGGCTTTTGTTTCTCCATGATCGTAGCCCATAAAAGTTTCACTAAGGGTATATAGATACGAAGAAATGGCGAGCAGATTGCAGAAGAAGAACAACAGGATGTGCGACAAAAAGAAATAGACAAGGCCTTGATCGCGGGAAGCCCCCCCGCTTCGAAGCCTTGATGGGGCTTCCCCTCCGGAGAGGGCGTCGAGCATGTGCATTCGTTCGCGTGCGCCCGCAATCGTGAAGAGCAGCCCGACCGAAATAAAAACCATCGCCGCCGTATATTCGCCGATTTTGACCGTCTCCACCAACGCCGTGTGATACCATGCTCCGTCTATCGCTTGCTAGTCCGCCGCCCCGAGAGTCGCTGCTTCACTTCTGCTTTCGTGTCTTCTTGCGCTTGGCCGCCATCCCGCACTCCTCCTCCTCCTCGTCGTCCTCTTCTTCTTCGCTGTCGTCCTGCTGCCGGCGCGCATTCTTGCCGCCCGACTTTTCGTTGCCCTTCTTGATGGAAATGAGACACCCCTGCTCCTTGAGGCGCTTGGTGAGAGGCGTGCTGGCCTGCATGCCCGGAAATTCCTTGGCACTGTAGACTTGGAACACGTCACTCGTGATGGAGGATCGAATGGGCGCCCGCAACGACCGGTGCTCAGCGTCGACGACGACCAGGACGAACTTCAGGCGGTAGTGGCCAGATGTGCGGACCGACATGTCGGGGAAGCAGAAGAAACAGCCCTCCTCGCCGTTCTCGTCCAGGCCCACAAAGGGCGACGACACGAGCGAGCCCATGATGCGCTTGCCGGGCCTCACCATGCTATCGTCCATGTTGGTGCAGTCGCCGGTCCCTGCCTCGTCCCAGAGGCTGCAGTGGACAACGTAGGCCGGGTGGTGGAGTTTTTGGTACAGCTCGTCGGGCGTGAGGTCGTGGTTGTTGATCTTCAGCTGGACGATGGGTGGCGGGTCAATCACTCTCCGATCCCGTTCGCCGTAACCACAACACCGCGCCGCCCTGGGCTGCTGGCGGAAGAATATCTCGTACTCGTTCTTAACCACCTTGACGTCCGATTCCTGGGCGCGCTGGATCGGCCTCGTGTCGAGACCTCCGCCGCTCAGGAGGTCCTCGATCTTGACCCTGTCCGGCTGGCTGGTGGCGCTACATGGCGCTCCGGCCGCCGGCACGACGGATCCGCACCGCTGCGTGGGGATCCTTAGGCTCGGCGGCGTGAAGGGGATGGCGACCTTTCCCTGATACGTGTCGTTCAGCACGCGCGGCGCGCCATGCGGCATCTCCGGCATCTGCGGGGGCTGGTTACGCTTGAGGAAGTGGGCTTCTCTCGCCGCTTGGTACTCGTCGTAGGGTTCACCGACCGAGGCCGACGTCGGCGATTCCTGGGGATACCTGGGCACGGGCGCCGACCTGTATGGATCTGAGAGCTGGGCGGGTTGCTGCGGAGGCGGTTGGTAATGCTGATACGGCGGCGGTGGTTGGTGGTGGACTGGCGAAGGCGGCTGGTGGTATTCGGGATGGCGGTGCTGGTGGTGATAGTCCTGGCGATAATATTGGGCGTGTTGGTACTCGGGTCGGTGATAATCGGGCTGATGTTCGCGCATGGCCGTTCTGGGCTGCGGGTCCACGCTCGTCGAATGCGGGAGCCGCGGAGGCTCAGGCTCGTAGGCGTAGCTGCCTTCAGGCCCAGGCGGGCCGTACGTTGGCGAAGGTGCCCACGGGGAAGGTCTCTGAGCCATGCTGTCTGTTCCCGCGTCGTAGCCGGTGTGTTGACGAGGTGGGGATTCTGATGCGTAAAACGACATGGAGAGATGAAGATGAGGACGGGATGCTACCGAGAGCAAGGTCCCCTTGTCAGCACCGACGCCGGTTCTGGCGCAAGGCCACAAATCCACGTTCTCTGCTCGAGATGTGGCGCTCGGAGCAGACTCACCAGAAGGTGGGGACGTCTCGGATCCGTATTCAGTCCTTGGCCGAAGGGAGCGTGGGGCAAGAAACCTCTGCTCCGGATGCGCTCACAACGATCGGCGTGCGTAAGAAGGCGAGGAATGGCGGGTTCAGATGGTCTGATGTGGTTGGGCGATGGGCAAACGGCGTCAAATGGCGGATACAGGTCAGAGCACGTCCATTGAGAGCTCCGGCGGAAGTACAGAGATGGAAGAAGACCAATCGAGCCGCTGAGAGGGAGAAGGATGCCGGCAATGAACAGGCGGACGGGTCTTTTATCCGCGTCTCACCGGATGGCTCCTCGCGCCTTGGCGGACGAAGATGGGCAAACGTTTCGTAGGAGAACGGGCCGAGGGCAGCTCGTTCCGTTCGTCCTCGTCTTCTTCTCCACTTCGCAGTCCTAGGCACGGGTTGTCGAGGCGCGTAAGTGGTTAACCGTCTACGGGTTATGGGTGACGGGCAAACATGCGCAGTATGAAGTTGACGAGAGGCGAGCCGGGAAGATGGTTACTGCTGAGGTTTTGGCGAGCGAGTTCAGCGCTGGTGGCGGTACCCAAAACCCGGGAGGGACGGATTGAGGACGGGACGGACTGGCGTCGCCTTGCATGCAGGAGAAATATGGTGACTGAGAGGCAGGCCAGGCGGGCAGGGTCGAATGGGCGTGGGCGTGCTCGTGCTCGTGGGTGTGTGGACGAAGAGGGCGTGCGGGACGGCGAGGAGGCGAGACACAGTCAGGTGGTAAAGGGGAGAAAATGCTAAGGCGGTGGTGGGCGGCGGCGGGGGGTCGTTGGCACGTATGTATATGAAGCTGCGGACAACCGGGGCAGAGCCAATACGCAATTCCAAAGACGATTTACGGCGCCGAAGGAGTGCCCTGCTCGCTCAGCCCGCATGGCGGTACATGGCTCTCGTTTGGCTGAAGGGGGGGGGGGGGGGGGGGGGGCAAGGAGAAAGGGCAAGGGCGAGCGAGGATCAATCAGCACGCGGCATCCGCAGAACACCAGGCGCAGTGTTGGCTTGTCTTGTCTTGTCGAGGAGGGACCAGGATCAGGCCCCACGTCGAACAATGTAATGGATGGGGAAGAGAAATTGGGGCCTTGGGTGTTTCTGGACTTGTTGGAGGCCAAGGACAGTAAGCGAGGAGAGAGAATTGAATTGGGTGTTCAAGTGGGCACCATGCGGACGCGGAAGTAGACGCAGACGCAGACAAGCAGAGCGAGAATAAGGTACGACAGCCGGCGAGGTAGTGGCAATCAATTGCTGCTGCTGTTCGTTCTCTCTCAGACCAAACCGACAAAAACAAGCACCGACGTGGAGGCGTTCGTCCAGTGGCAGGACGCGGACGAAATGGTTTGTCGCAGGTACCCACGCACCACGATGACAGAAGGAGATGCCACTGCCTACTCTGTACATTCACTACCTACGTAGAAGAGACGGGAGAGGGCGCGGAAACGGATGGGCTTGGGACCCTCGGCCAGGAGGTTTGGACAGGGGCACGGCAACCAGGACAGGGACCGGGGTCATGGGTCCGGCCAGGAAAAGACAAGAAGCGACATTCGCGGGAGGGTGCCGCATCGCACTCGGTCACCGTCTAGTTGGGGAAAATGAAGGACGGCTTTCCCTAGGTGGAGAGCGATAAAGACAGAAAAGAAAGTAGGTAGGTAGCCACCTAGGTAGGTAGCCACCTGGGTAGGTAGCCACCTGGGTAGGTAGGTAGTGCAGGTACTAAGGTACGTATCGCTTGGCCATCGGATCAACGGCCTGATTGGACCAAGGAAGGAGCAGCCAAACAACACTGGACTCGAGTGGACGGTACGTACCGGTTAAAGGTGTGTGGGAAAGTGCGGAACGATACCTGCCTCTACTATCCGTACTCCGTACGTAGTAGGTAACCGGTCCTCGGTCTTTAGGTGCGAAGTCGGTAATATCGTCCAAGCAAGCCATCTCTCTCCAAGGACATGGGGACGGCGTTGTGCAAAATGCACCGAAACCGAGAGCAAGTCTCCATCAGCGCGCAGATTGCGCATGCGAGTCTTCTGCGCCTTGTCGAGCGGTTGGGCGAATCAGGCTCTCTCGGCCGTGTCGTCGGAACTGCGACTTTGGGACCTCGACGCAGCACGACCATGCACATGCACGCCTTAAGCCAGCGAGGTGGATAAAAGGTCGTCGTCCCCTGCTACTATATGTGTACAAGTATACACCTATGTATCTATAGTAGGTACGCAGTGGTAGCCACAGTGGTCTTGGACCAACCGCTTGAAAAGAAGGCTTACAGAACTGCGGGGGTAGATAGTCAGTCCCCTTCGCTACGCTCCCACGTTCGGGTTGGCCATCTCCGCTGCATGAATCCTCGATTATACCTAGGGATACGGATGCACATATCCGTACCTACCTACCGTACCGCACCTCACTCATCGTCGTCTGAATACGGATACCTGAAGTCAATACGACTGTTTCCATTCCGTTGACTTTGCGGGGATGCGCTACCCACCAGGGCCCGCTAAACCACGGGTGCACCCATAGCGGCCGGCGATTGGCGCCAGGGGCCATGCCTACAAGTTCCTTTCATTTCATTTTTATTTTATTTTCCCTCTTCTTGGCTTTTCGTGCTTTGGGCCGGCCTACCCAAGCCGTCGCCTGGGGAATAAACCGCCGCCCCAGCCTGGGTGACACGACGACGCGCACAAAGGATGACAGCCACGACGCCCCTTTTGCATCGATTGCGCGTGCGCCGAAAGCCCTGGAGCTTGAGCTTGTCACCACGCTGCTGCTGGCTCTGCGGCACGACGCTACTCCCGAATAAGAAAGTCTGTGCGCGCCTAGGTGCTCTGTCGGTATCTAGTCTCTACTACGTAGTGCACAGGGACCTACCTACCGACCAACCTACCTACCTACCTGCCTACCTGCTTACCTGCCTCAGTTGGACCATGGAAATTGTTATAGTAAATTACCGGGGCTCCGGTCTTGCCTGCCCCGCCTGCATCACTCTGCCCGAGACGCGACGACGCTTCTGGAATACAGTTCGGCGGCAACTCTCCTCGCCCATCGCATCGTATCGCTGCCGCAGCCCCCCCTCACTGCGCCAGCCTCTGCCTCTCTATGCCTCAGCCTCCACGGCCAGGCCGGGGCAACGCCCTCTCTCCGTTGCATGTTGTTTGCTGCTGGCTGACCTGCACCGGGCCTCGCTCGCTCGCTCGCTCGCCCGCTGGCGTATCCCTCGATCTGGTTCGCCAATCCCTGGCAAAATCCTTCGCCCAACAAACCGGCAGGTCAGGTCGCCGAGTGGAGGTGGCCGTCGTCGCGCTTACTGCCTGCCACTGCTGAGCCGCGCAAGTCGGTGATTGCAATCACACGGGTGATCTGGAAATATGCCAGACCAGCGGCGCACGCAACTGCACACTCATCGGCTTTCGGACGACCACACCTTATATCCACCGAGACAGCCAGCTCTGGGTCACCCACAGGGGCATTTGCTCTGTTCAACCTTTGCCAGACCTTGCGCAAACAAGCCGCCTCAATCGAGGCAATGCTCCGTTCTGCTTGCTTGCCTTCTCGACGCCCTCCTCATGCATACCGGGTCCCTTTCCACCGGTACCTCAACAGCCTCGGCCTCATCTCTCATCCATTGCTACTCGCCACGATCGCCATGTCCGTGACCATTGCCAACCAGCACTCCGGGAGGTACCACACCGGCCACCAACCGTTGTCACCATCGTTTCTGCGTATCGACACGGTCCGTCATTTCTGGGTTCGTACTTTGAACACCGCCAGCAGCCACCCCGACGTCCCTCGAGCCGTTTACCTGTCGGGCCGTTGCACACCGACGTTGCAATACTCTTCGGGGTACTTAGGTAGGACATGGCTATTGAGCGGTGCCTTCACCTGTAGTAAGTACCCTCGGATCTCCCGATCCTCACCACCGCCCGGCCAATCAGCTGCGGCCAATGCCAACAAGAGATGGTCCAATGGATTACGGTGCCGGGGTTGGCTCACCAGGACCGGCGTGATTTACAGCTCTACAGCTTTGGGACGCCAGTGTGGGCGCGCGCCGGTGATCTGGTCCGCGAAGATGCGGCTCGTTTGCCTTTCAGCGATGTTACTGTTACTAAGAGGAGACAGGGGCATCAATCGATCAGCATGGGCATCGGGACGAAGTTGAGCATATCGTGCCTAGATTCCCGGCCACGTTGGGGTCTCAGATGCTGGTGAGACAAATCCTCCTTTTGTCCTGTTGTTTTAAAAGGGGGGGGGGAACGGTTCCATACCTTTCTAGTGACATGGCTGCATCCCAGGGCCGCTGCTCATCCTCCCACCTGCGCCCGCTAACCGAGTCGGCGGTTCTGGCCGCTAACGACGGGCCATTGCAGTCCACTTCCGCACGCGGCCGTCGGCGGGTTCGTGCTTCATCTGTCTGTCATCGAGGCGCACCACACGTATGCTGTGCGGGCTGGCGTCAAATCAACCTCTAGTGCCTGCAGGGCTGTCCTGGTGTCCGAGTTTGTCGATCCCGGGCAGTGACGGTCTCTGTTGATACCTGCAAGACAGGTCAAGCTAACGGGAAGGGCACGAGTCACGGCGCTGGGAGGTCTCACGATGCAACACTTGCATCCTGGCAGCTGGCGGCCAGCTGACGGGCCGTAAAGGCAGGGGCTTTGTAGGGAAGTTAAACTCGTTCCATGTTGGACTCGTTTACACTGCGGATACAAGGGGCTGGGTTCAACTTCCATAACCATGACCTCGTCTTCTATCCCCTGGCGTCCTTACCGTCGACCCGCATCCTCCACTGTTGTTGGTTGTCAGTTGTGTTCACAGTGACGCTGGCAGGGGTCCCGGGTTCCCTCCCGTCGACAATGAGCTAGACGGCGGGTCCGTCATCCCGCCAATCTACCTACGAGTACGCTTCATCCACCACGTTCCACGCGGCCACACTATGTGGTGTGCCTCGGTGGACGAAGAGCTTTGATTCTTTGACGCTCACTTCGCAGCGCCAACATAATCACATGACTGCGGCCAGGACGGCGAGCAGTGCCCCGAGTCCTCTATACCCAGGCGAGCACATTACCATCGGGATCCCCGCGCCTGTGGAATGATGGACGGCCACCGAGTGCTACCAACGCATGGAGTACCTTGCGATGGGCGTCCCGGCACGACGGTACCTCGGCCACCGTACCATCTTGCGAACAATGCGAGGACTCCGTCCTATACGACGCCGGACATACTCCGAAATCCTCTTCAACTACGGCTCATAGTCATGCTCATTTCCGCATCTCACGTCCGTGCCGCCCGGTAACAGCTTGTCGGGTCGCGAGGAGACCCTGCCAACGCATCACTCTTCTCACAATGGCAAAATCACCGGCCGTGCCGCCAATCACCACCCTCCGCGAGCAGCACCGCAACAGGTCAGACTCATCGGCACCGAGATGCGGGTCAACCTGTGCCTTGGTGGCCGTATTCCCCCGAATGTCGCCATCTACGGCATGATAGAATTGCCGGTGGTGTGTGACACTCGCGGGCTCGGATCGCAGACGCCTAGGCACCGCAACCTCAGCCAACCCTCCGGAATGCCAATTTGAACATCACTGACGGATGCCCAACCACATAACCAACCCCGCACCAGGCTCTCCACGGCGATTGGTCTGCTATTCTCGGTCGGAGGCCCACGAGTTTGTTAGAATGAGCAGAGCCATATGCAGGTGCATCGCCGCGGAAGGCTCGACATGCAGCCATTCTCCTAGAGTCCAAGACGGCGGTCCTGTCACAGTGCAGGGAGGCGCGGAGAGCAGATCATATCTCAACCATACTTGACCCGAGGTTGGGTTGGACGGAACCAGTAACCTGGGTGGGTGGGTGGGTGGCTGGCTGACTCTCCGCCTGTTGTGCTTGAGCCACCGCTCGCCCCTTGCACTGATTGTCCTGCTTATCACCCAGCACCTCTTTCGGGTTTTGGCCAATGGGCCCACGCCCGCTTCCAACAATCCCGGCACGTAGAACGGTCAAGTTGGTGTTGATAAGGCCGGGCAACGGTTCGTCAGATGCCCTTGCCGGGAATACTTTGTGACCGAATCCTGCCTCTCCAAATGTACGACGCCGTGTGCTGCCAAGCACTCCTGCGTGTTGGCAGTTTATGCTTTGCTTTAAAACAGCAGCCGATTGCAGCTACCGGTACTCCGTACCAAGTCTTTAAAGGAGTCGTGCGGCTTGGCTGCTTGCACATATGCAAGGAGCTGCAGCAGAGCCGTTGGCAAAGTTGTTACAAGACAGAGGCCATTGGTCAGCCTGCGTCAGCTTTGCTTGATCTTCCATTCCACCGGCGAATTCATCCCCTTCCGGTCCTGTGCTTGGGAGCTCTCGGACGACACTGGGCGAAGTGCCAGGGGCTCGCTCACCTTTATCTGCTGCCAGGGTTGGGAATAAGTAACTTTAAGTAAGTATTTTGTAAGGAAATACTTGGAAGTACTTACTTAAAGGTAAAGAAATAAGTATTTTAAGTTACTTATTCCCAACCCTGTCTGCTGCACATATGCAAAGCCAGCGCGCTCCAAGGGCTCAGATGTTGCTTCAAATCGAATCCCTAAGATGCCCGTGTCCCTATATGATAGGGCATATGATGCAGTATCTTAATGATAAATAACGGGACGTTGAATAGCGCATATTTGAACTGGGAGTGAGTAGACCCTCGTTTGCATTAGCCCTTCCGCGACTCAGATGTCTACGCTGAATAATGCACTCCTGCCGAGGTCAAGAGGATCAGGGACCATATCAGGCATCCGGCAGTTGGCAAAATCCGAGGAGAAACGAGACCATGGCCGTCTCTGCTCCGCCTGTCAGATAATTAGCAGCCAGAGGTAGGGAGGTGGTTTGCAGAGTCGTCCTCGCTTGGGCTTGATATGTGCCTGGTGGCGTTTTCCGGCAGTTTGGCCCGTCTGATTGGCTGTCCACCTGTGGCTGGGCTGGCACACACCCCAACTGCGTGATGCCGATCGCTTCCTGGTGCGGCACCAGACGGGTCGCTATGGCTGATTTCTTGTTTTGCGCCGCGGCCAATTCGTATTGAATTCGGTGCCGGAGGTATAGTCAACGTTTTATGGTGGACGCAATCCTCAGCAGACAACCTAAGCGAGAATGTACATTGTACTTTTTTTTGTTTGCTGCGACCATGGGACTGATTACGAACCATTCATTGGCCAACCCAGCCGGTAACAATAAACTGTCGCCCCTGGCACCCATGTAGACGCCACACATCCCGGCCAAACGTTTGTTCCCAAGCTGCAGCTCGGCCTCTTCAGTAGGTAGACGCCGCCCTGGCCCTCAGCGAGCTCCGCACTTCCAGAGGAAGACGGGGAGCGGAACGGAGGTAATCACGCCCGCCGGGGCCATGACGCTGTTCGCACACCCGTGGCCCAGCGCGCGATGCAAGCCCGGGGCAAACAGCGGGAACAGAAACGCCGCGAGCTCTTGGTAAACTAGATGACCGCCATGGGTCTGGAGGCTGTATCAACAACATACATACTCCAGCAGTATTCTCTATACACAAGAGACACAGCAAATTATCACTACACATTAATTATGACATTCTCAATTTTTATAATCTAACAGTAGCACCCAATGCTAAAAGGGCCCAAGGTCTCGGCTCACTATCAGTGACCGGCCAACATCGTCAGCGGCCGTCCCGGGGTTGAATGGATTTGCGGGACGCTTTCATGCCCTCCCTCCACTACGACTTTTTTTTTTTTTTTTTTTTTTTTGGAGCAGGACCAGGCACTTGTTTGCGCGACGCACGACGAGCACGTAGAAGAGGAGTGCATCGTTTTTGGACTTCATGTGCTCGTAGTCGTCAAGGCTATTGGCAGGGCTCACCAAAGGTGGGTCAACGTGTGTGTGTATAATCAAGGTTGATTCTCTAACTAGCTATGGAGTACCTACGTAGTGGGTTAAGTACCGTATCCACTGGTTAGATCCGGACAAAGCTAGAGAAGCACGCTAACGGTAAGGAGTATCGCGGCCGCTGTAAGGAGTATAGTGTGCTGGCAGAAACAGGGATCTGTATATATCTATTTTCTTACGTAACGGTTGTGTTCTCACTAACGGCGGGCTGGCTAGTGGGCTGGAAGGGGTGACCGCCTTCTATGCTAGGACTAGCGTGGCTAACATCCACTAGCCGTTATAGGACATCTACTAGCTTTCTCTGGCTAGCGGGCTTCCTAGCTTTGTCCGGATCTAACCAGTGGATACGGTACTCCTAAAGGTACGTATTCGTGAGTACCTGTGTGGGTATCGTGCCTGTGGTAGCTATGGTCTTGGGTGTTGCAGAGGGGCCAACCACCGATCCAGCCGCACGGGCTGGGCGGCGACGCAGCCAGCCAACACATGCCCGGTCTTGTTGCACCTCTCCCCGCGCGCAGACGAACGCCGCGTCGCCGTGCTTGACAAGTTCTCTGGAGCTGGCGGGCTAAACTATCACTCTACCGACAGGATTCGTTCGAAACTCATGACGCTCGTGGCAGGCCTTCCCGGTTGAACTCAGGTCTGATGCAAATTAGAGGAGCTACCTACTCCATTTAAGTATTTCGGACACGGATATACCCTCAGTATCGTTGGACTTATCATGACTCTCATGCTACCCGCTTGTTAAAAGGATACTAGGTGTCAAGCTCTTCTCGTTTCCTCATTACGTCCAGATCATGTATATCCCATTAAGACTTCACCGCCGGAACCGATTTACTGAACTCATCTCATGACCTTTCATAAACTCCATCTTTTCACAATGTGAGGCGACTTGGCGCGACAGTCAACGTATGACCTGTCAATCAATCAAGTTCAGCATCCCGAAGTGCAGAGCTCAGCTGAGGCCACTCAGAGATCAATGCCCAAACATTCGACGCTGTGCGTATCAGAGAAGCTGTCTACTCTAGTACGTCGGACATGATGAGCAAGAGTTGAGAAGAAACAACAGAAGAGGGAATTGTGAGTATGTCTTGGGCCAGTGTACACATCTGGTCTACCTATTTAGACCCCTTTTCTCTTCCTCTTTGCGTGTGCGATGGGAGAGTTGGGGCTCGATCGGTAGCTCTGGTCATTGCTTCAGGCGGAAGGAGTAGAAGGAAGCGATCCATTGGAGCTGCCTCTGTCGACGCCATAATCGATGTGTTATTCTTCCTCGCTTGTGTCACTAATGTGGATGACTTGGAGGGTTTCGAGGGTGTAGCCGACATCGTCGTCACGGGGGGGGGGGGGGGGGGGGGGGGGTACAGAACGTGTGCGTAGACGCGCGGCCGCGCGGCAAAGGCCAGCCCGGAATCGTTCGGCAGAACCTCAACGTTGTTAAAGAGATGTTGGATCTCGGCGGTGAGTTCCGGCGTGCCCCAACCCGTCTGTAGCTGGATCCGAACGAGGCTATCACGCATTCGATGCCCATGGCATTGCCGGCATCGGCGGCGGGCGGTCAGTCACATAAGAGAAGATCTTGCTCGCAGCGGTCTCGATTCGCCGGTAACCCGTTTTCGGACATGGTGTCGTATGGATTCATCGTGGCAGTTGTTGTTGGTGGGATGGAATGCGAGATGGGTGTGAGATGAATGGAGGGTGAGATGAGGGTGCTTCCGCTAACGGGGCCGGCAGCCGGCAGGTACTGTTGTTGGCCGTGGGTCTGTGCCGCTCCGATGAGACTGCTGCCGATGGTATGGGCCACTCCGAGTGGGTCCAGGCGCGCGAAACCGGTCTAGGAGTATGACGGACCCACGATCTAAGGATTCCCTCCTCCCATACAGCCGCAGCCTCAAGGCGTCATGTGGCAGGGAAACTCCTCCCCTGTTGAGACGGGCGGCCTCTGTCCGCATTCCCAGATGCTCCGGGCATATGGCGGAGTTCCCATGGAGCCATTGATGCCTTGACCCAACGTTCCGAGTCAGGGAAGCCCTCCCACCGGAGACCAGCATCAAAACCAGCTGGCCTGCGCGGGGCCCCAGGCCTACGGCTATGGCATGCCACTTTATGGGGGCTGGTGGCAGGTGGGCCCGGGTTGGCAGTAGGGAAGCCATCACGACCTGGGGGTCTTCGGACCCCGTTGGGAAATAGATAGTGATAATAAAGATTCTGTACAATACGTGGTCCTAATATTTGGTCCTGTCATGAATTGATGCAGTGAGAGTGATATACTGACAAACTTAATGACAGGTGTAGTGGGTACAGTGGCAAGAACCTGTTGGCTTGTGTGGCAGTGATCTGAGCAACATTACTTCAGAAGTACACTTCAGTATAGTAGCTCTTACTATTGAATCTAGAATAACTGCAGGGTACTGTTATTTTTCTTCAGCGCCTGAAGATTCTTAGACATAAAGTCAAAGAATAATGAACTAGCTGATGCCTGGACTACTTGTTAAACCTTATACGCATAGACTGCACCAAGCTAAGTCTATAATCACAACATGCAGGTGCTGCCTAGTGATAGAATGCCAGCTACCAGTGAGCCTCATGTGCGACTCAGTTTGTCAGAGCAGCCTTGGGCACGTTTTTCGCCTTTGCTCGATTCCCCCATCACTTTTTTTTTTTTTTTTTTTTTTTTGGCATTATGTGTCGAGGTGACGAGGTTGCCATTGTTGTTATGGTTGTAATGGTGAAGCAGGAGGTGTTGGGTTGTGAAAAGGATGAAGGTAAGGGATTAATTTTTCTTCCGGATCGAATATTAAGGAATTCATTCATCTGGAAGCAGAGTTGGTACGGAAGGAGTAATGTCCCTGTCTAAAATCGATGAACTTGTCAAGCTCATGTAAGTGCAACCTAACTGGTAGACGAGACACAAGTTTCGCTGGAGGACCCCCGTTCCAGCCCTTGAGCGCCTAACATGGCTTGTGGCTATCCATGTGCCAATAAGAAAAGAAAAATCCTTAGTCTCTGTTTTCTATTGATACGTGTTCTTTATTCATACGTTTATACATCTGTATATACGGACATTGACAGGTTGACTTCCGGCTGGATTACACGTCGACTTGGAGCCAGTATACGGTTGTCTAAGCAAGCAGATACTAGGCCGGCAACGTTTCCTGGCTGTCCCAATCAGCTGTAGAAAGGATTCAAGATACGCTGCGCTGACGTGCGTCATATGGTAGCCAGGGTATGGTCTATATTGCTTCCGAGGATGGAGCTTGGGTGAGGTAGGTAAGTTGGATCTGATATCGCATAACCTACGCAAGGTGTCAACCGAGTGTTAGATCGAAATCGGGACATTTGTAGATCAGGGGACATTTGTAGATCAGAAAGAACACTGCAAGCCATAGGTCCTCAAAGTAAAGAGTGTCACACAACACTCGGTGATCTTGCTCTAGTTAATAAGGTCAGCACGGTGGTTAATCGCAGAGAGGTCGAGAAAGGAAGGAACAGGCTAATACGTCAAACGGCCCCTAACCTCACCCGCATCGCAAGGTCAGGTGACCTGTTCCTTCCTGCCTAGAGAAATATTCCTCTCTTAAGTCTCGTCGTCTCTCTCTCCCCCCCTGGATGAAGAACAAGCCCGACACGGTGGCGAGTGGCTCTAATGCCGGATTCTAGAGTTACCGGCGACTCCATGAACAGCGGAAGGCAGCTACGAAGCCTCGGATACCGGATTTTTGCTACTTTCTTCTTCTTCTTCTTCTCCCCCCCCTCCCCCCACCTCTCTTCTTTTCCATTTTCACGCCCAGGCCCGTCACCAACTGGATGCTCCTCCTAGCAAAGCCGATCCGCCCACGCCAGATATCAGCCAGCACCGTCCGACCTCTCATGGGACGACCGGTGGCCGCCCGGGCAACATGTTGGAATTGACTTTTTGTCGAATGCGCAATCACAGTAACGAGAGTTGGAAAGGAACGACGCCACTGCCAAGCACGTGAAACGTCCTTCCGGGGTCCACCCTCCGGACGGGCTCGAGCCACCACGGCGATAGACAAGCAGCCGACGAGGGAAAACTGCCGACGACCCAATGAGGGTGGACGCGATTACAAGTTTTAGCCGGTCCGACGAGGCTGGCGGCTGGAGGCAAACGTTCTATACGCCGGGGACACCCAGCCAAGATCCAGGCTTAATCGCCAAAACAAGTTTTCGCCCTGACGCCATCATGTCGATTCTTTACGACGGGCTGAGTCGGGGGGAACACCACCAGGACATACAAGACGTCTCATCCGAGCTCTCGAGGCCTGGGTGTCCCCAGCACCGACAGCAGACCTGACTCCTGCTCGAGGAGGGGAGGACCTGAGTTTGAGGAAAAAGGCTAAACCTTGGCAAAGGAAATACGACTCCAAATCTTTTTTTTTTCGCCAATCTTCTCCCCTCCCGGTCCTTCACAAGTCACCACATCAATCGGAAATGGAGCACCCTTTGGACAAGCACATGGCTATCGACAAGCCGGCGGCGGCGGCGGCAGCGGAGGCGGTAGCAGCAGAGGCACCGGAGAGGTTTTTTGAGGTGCGGTCGCCGGCGAGCTTCGCGGCGCGCATGTGGGCGCGCAAGTACAGCGGGGTGCCGGTGGTGCCGGACGGCGACGTGATCCTCGTCGTCGGGGTCGGCGAGGAGACGGCGGAGCTGCGCGCGGACTCGGTGATCCTTAGGCGGGCGTCACGGGTGTTTGGGGCGATGCTAGGGCCGCGCTTCTCCGAGGGCCAGAAGCTGCTGGACCGCGGATCGGACCCGGTCAAGATCAGCCTCCCTGACGAGGACCCCGAGGTGATGGAGCTGGTCCTCACCATCCTGCACCACCAGAACGCGCGAGTGTGCCAGATCGCGGCGGCGGACTCGATCCTGGAGGTGGCCGTCATCGCCGACAAGTACGACCTCGTCGATGCGCTAAAGTACGCGTCGCAGACCATGCTGCGCTACCACGAGCCGTCGATCGACCGTCTGACGGTCGGGGACCTGTGGCGGCTGGGCCTGGCGGCGGGGCTGCTCAACGAGGCCAGGTCGTTTGAGAAGATTACGCGTATGTTGGTGTGGAACCACACGATGCCGTACATCCAACTGGCGGACGCCGAGGACGTCATCGACATCGAGTTTGCGCTGCGCATGTGCTGTGAGTAGAGGGTCCGCCTCAGGTGAACGCGGCTGACGATGACAGACCTCCTCGAGAAGGAGAGACAGGACCTCAAGGCGTCCCTGCTGCTGCACCTGCTGCCCATCATCTCGACCGGCAGCCAGCTCCGCCTCGTGGAGATCAAGGTCGACTCGGCGGAGCACTTCGACGCGTGGCCGGAGCTGATGAAGCTATTCGGGGCGAGTCTGCAGGAGACGACAAGGTTCGCCGAGGGACTGGTCTTGGCGGACAGTAGACGCCGTGCTGCGGGGCCCGGGTCGGACTTTATGAGGCACTTCAAGGCCCGCGGCGGCATACGCCTGGCGGATGTGCGGAGGGGACGAGACTGACGGGAGGACGGACAGACGGACGGATGGTGGTTCTAGAACGTGTCGATTTTTTCCCTTCATCGATCGTCGTTTAGCCTCAGCGGACAGCGGGACCAATTGCATGGGGTGGGTAAGTGGCATTGAATATCAAGTTTATTTTCATTTAACTCCGTACGCTATTCTGCGCAGACAGCCGAGGTCCATTGAGACGGCTTCGGTAATTAGCAGCCGCTCGGTCAAACGCCGTTCCCTGCACTCATCGTAAAAGCCACGTTGAGGCCCGCTTGATAAGCCAGGGTGGGTCCGCGACGGGGCCTCGTTGTGTAAACGCTCGTCCCGTTGTCGAATGAGATTCTCGCATGCCCTTTCATGATCCGGATTTGAAGACCCTCGGCCAAGGCAATACCTAAGCAACCCTGCCAATCTAGTGTAGCAATTGGCGGACTCTCCCAAGGGCCGACGGTACGGGAAGCGCCAGTTAACCTATGCAGGGAGCCTCCCGGCCAGCAGGGCGATCTCCATACGTTCGGGTCCGGGAACCGCATCCGAAGGCAATTAATTGCTAAAGACTCGTGGTTCGGGATACATCGGGTGGAGCAAGCATCGAGTCGTCTCTCGGGCAACACTACGGGATTCAGTAGGCAAACTGACGTGTCGGACGGCACAGCCTGCGATTCGCTCGTTGGTCCCCTTATCGTTCGGTTGGTGATGGACAGTCTAAATCTAGGCCAACAGGCAATAAACACCCGTTTGTCGGCCCATCCACTCTCTAATCCTTGTGAAGCGTGTTCACTGCCGACAGCGATGGATTGAATGGCGCAGTCATATTTTAGCCGGGCTCTTTGCATGCCTGGCTTCGGGCGCGTGTCAGTGCAGCTGCAGCCAATCCCTGACGGTCGTCCGTAAGTCTTGCACTCGCATTCGTGGCTTTGCATCCATAATGAAAAGGAAAAAAAAGGAGAGCGGGTGTGGATATGAGCACTCAAATCCGTCGGAGTTGGACGCTGCACCTCGGCACGGAGTTCGAGGAGCCGCGGTGAGTGAGCCGCTAACCCATGCTGACGTATTTGGTGCCCCGCTAGGGCCACACTGGGCCTGTTCCGCAGAGACAAACCAGGCTAGGAACGGAAAAGAAAAAGGAAGGAGAATGCGCGCGGATCCACTTCCATGCACTGCGTTCGTCCATGCTCCCAACACCTGCTGCCATCGCACCCTGACAAAGCCAAATCGCTGCAATCCCGTTCGGTGCCACCCAATCCCGTCCCCATCATCACACGCCGGACACGGGAGTGCTGTGGATCCCGTCCGCCTGCGACGACTTCGCCTCTAGCCTAGCCTCAGGCCCGGAGATAACCACTATCGGCTGTTGTCCCCGGACGAGCAGGCAGATTCTGTGTCATTTGGTCATGGATTTACACGAACCAAGTTTCCGGGTGGGCGTGCACCGGTGCTTACGCCCCTTGTCGCTGGGTCTCATACGGGGGGCACCGACGAAGGGGATGGAATTCGTATTAGAAATGCACACTGCGACCATGGTATATAGGACAACTCGCCGTCCGGTTCTCCAGTCGGGTCTCGCCCTAGATCTCTTCATCTGGAACACTTTGACCGTTGCACTCGACGAGCTCCCAGCACATCACCCGGAGCCAACAGGAAGCTTATTAGCCCCGTGCCAAGCCAGGATCCCTTCGACCCCTTCACAATGGCGTCGCCGCCGCACTCCTCGTCGTCCTCGATCACGGCGACCGAGGCCGACGTCGAGGCCCAGAGGCCCGTCAACAAGGCCAACTACTTCCGCTACCTCTTCGACCAGGCCGGCGTCACAGAGGCCGTCCTCGAGAACAAGTACCCCGGCGAGGGCACCCACGACGCGCCCTATGTCGTCGACTTCCTCCCCGGGGACGCTCGCAACCCCCAGACCTTCCCCAAGTGGAAGAAGTGGGCGTACACCCTGGAGCAGGCCGTCGCCACCCTGGCCGTCGCCTTCGTGAGCACGGCCTACTCTGGAGGCATCGGCGACGTCATCCGTCACTTTGGCGTGTCCACCGAGATCGGCATACTGGGCGTGTCTCTGTTCGTCGTGGGCTTCGCCGTCGGCCCCCTGATGTGGGCTCCCCTGTCCGAGCTCTACGGCCGCCAGTACCTCTTCATCGCGACCTACACCGCACTGACGGCCTTCAACGCCGGTGCCGCCGGCGCCCAGAACATCCAGACGCTCATCGTCCTCCGCTTCCTCGCTGGCACCTTCGGTGCCTCGCCCTTGACCAACGCCGGCGGCGTCATCGCCGACATGTTCAGCGCCGAAGAAAGATCGTTTGCCACCGCTATATTCGCGTCGGCTCCCTTCCTAGGACCCTCGATCGGTATGTCTGCCCTACTGCGTTTGCCCCCTCCTGCAGCGCCCGCTAACACACGTCTAGGTCCCATCGTCGGTGGCTTCCTCGGTGCCGCTGAAGGCTGGCGCTGGGTTGAGGGCCTGATGGCCATCTTCACCGGCACGCTCCTCATCATCGTCGGCCTGACGGTCCCCGAGACCTACGCCCCCGTGCTCCTCCGCCGCCGCGCCGAGAAGCTCTCCCAGATCACCGGCAAGTCGTACATCTCCAAGTATGAGGCCCACCAGCCGCGCAAGACCGTCGCCCAGCAATTCAAGGTCGCCCTCTCCCGCCCCTGGGTCCTCCTGTTCAGGGAGCCCATCGTCTTCCTGACGTCCATATACATGGCCATCATCTACGGCACCCTCTACATGCTCTTCGCTGCCTTCCCCATCGTTTTCCAGCGCTACCGCGGCTGGTCCCCCGGCGTCGGCGGCCTGGCTTTCCTTGGCGTCGCTGTCGGCATGGTCTTCGCCGTCACCTACACGGCGTTCGACAGCCGTCGCTACCTCAAGGTCTCTGCCGCCCACGGCGGCTTTGCTCCTCCCGAGGCCCGCCTGCCCCCCTCCATGATCGGCGCCTGCCTCCTGCCCATCGGTCTCTTTTGGTTCGCCTGGACCAACGGCCCCGAGATCCACTGGATCGTCCCCATCATCGCCTCGGGATTCTTCGCTGCCGGCCTCGTCCTCGTCTTCCTCGGCCTGCTCAACTACCTCATTGACTCGTACGTCGTCTTCGCTGCCAGCGTCCTCGCCGCCAACGCTGTCTTGCGCTCCCTCTTCGGCGCCGCCTTCCCGCTCTTCACCACGCAGATGTACGAGCGCCTCGGTATACACTGGGCCTCGTCCATCCCGGCCTTCCTCGCCCTCGCCTGCCTGCCCTTCCCCTTCCTCTTCTACAAGTATGGCCACGCGATTCGGCAAAAGTGCGCCTTCGCTGCCGAGGCCGCCGCCGTCCTGGAACGCATGCGCCAGACGCACGAGAATGTCAACGAGGACGAGGCCATGGCCGAGGAGGAGAAGAACGAGAGCGCGCGCGCTGGGTCCGCCAACGGTGCCGGCATGCTGTCGGACGACGAGCGCACCGTACAGGACGAGCCTCGTGATGACGAGGCCGCCCGCAAGGTGCAGGCCTAGGTTTGAGCATATTCTTGATAATCATTTGTTTTAAATGTCGGATGTGATAGACGAAAATACCCGGAGAGGCATGTGTCACGGCCGCTGTGTAGCATTTGCATGGAGTTTTGGTAAAGTCTTTTGCGTTATCGGGGCCACGAGAGCCACATGGATACCAGATAGATGCATTTCTGCATAATTATAGAGTAATAGAGTTTCGCGAGACGTAGACCGTGCCCGAAGCTAAAGCTCGTTCCGCTCCCGTCCGCCAATCTTGATCTTCAGTCCCGGAATATTCTTGACCTTGAGGCTGCGCGACCCGGTGATCCGCACGTTGCTGCCCCCGACGTCCTCGGCCGGCTTCTGGCCAGGCGGCGTCCACGGCCTGATGCGTCCCTGCCACACGTCCAGCCCCCACCCCTGCAGCTCGTGCGGCGTGAGGGCCCTCCCTTTGGGGTACGGGTAGATCCGCCCGTTCGACAACTGGTGCACCACGCCGGCGGGGTAGCCGTCCTCGGACGGGTTGAGGCCCAGCTTGGCCGGGAGGTCCGGGAAGTAGGTCGGGTCGACGGTCACGGCCGTCAGGGACGAGTACTGCTTCTTTGCAAAAGCGTGGAGGTCGCCGCGGATGGAGGCGCGGGCCTGGGGCGACGGCGAAAAGATGTAGACCATTGGCCACCCACGCTGGGTTTCACGGTCAGCCGATTCGGTGATTGTGAGGATTGGAGAGGGAGGAGGGGGGGGGGGAGTTACGTCGAGGAAGCGTTGGTGGTTCGAGCGAGTGAGCTCCGCGATGACGGGCCTCGAGGCCTCGACGACCCACCCTTCCAGCTTGTCGTCGGCGGACCGGGTGTGCACGCTCTCGTCGTCACGTTTGTAGCAGACGACCTTTGCTTCTGCGGCGTCCGGGCTGTTGTCGACGACGCCGAAGGTGAACTCGGTCCAGTACTTACTCGCCACGGCCTCGAACGCCTGGCGGGCTGCCGTGTCGGGCGAGAGGTGTCCAATGCAGACAAAGTCGTCCACACCCTTAAAGGAGTCGACTTCCTCGGCTGACAACGTTGCAACTGGGGCTTGGGAACAGCGCTTGGCGCGGCCGAGGAAGCGCAGTATCCTGGGACGGTGTCAGCCACACACAGCCTTTCTGGAGAGGGCAGGGGCCGTACTCGTCGCTTGTTCGTGGGCCGGGATACTCTACCGACGGCTGGCCGTCGCGGAGGAGCCTGATTGAAGGGTACTCGTCCGCCGGCAGGCCGGCGCAGAGCTCGTTGGCGGGGTTATCGATCCAGCTCATTGAAAACTCGGTGGAAGACTGCGCTGCCTTCCACTCCGCCTCCAGCGGCCTCGACTTTTCCGACGACTGTGGCAGCTGGTCAGTACTATGCGCAAGACGCCATCCACGAATCACCCACTTCGACACCTACGCCAGTTAGCCCAGGCTCATTTTGAATGCTCAGGGGACTTACAGGCAATCAGCCTCATCTCCTGGGTCTCAGACACGGGGGCCTCCGCGACGAGCGACGCTTGCTCCTGAGAAGCCACGCCCGCGAGTAGCGGTACCCAAAAGCCCGCGCGCAGGAGAGCAGAAAAAGTCATTGTAGGGATCTTACTTCGGGGTAAGTTGTAGACGGAGAAAATCGAAGTCGGAAAACGGTGGGACGTTGTCTACTATGTAGTGCCCCCTGTTTGACAGGCGACAGGGATCTTCTCCTGAGCCAGGGTTGAGCGTCCAGGTCGCATCGTATGGAACGACTGCAGGGTCTAAAAAATCGATCCTCTAGATCAGTGTGTCGACCAGTTACGACTGCTCTTTATGATGACGCCACAATAGCCATCCATAACTGAGTGGCCGTTCTTTTTCCTGTGCAAAAAGCGCATTTGGCTTTGCATCAATGAGGAAAGTTATTGCTGGCCCTCTGTCGACGTATAAAGTGACAGTTAAGCTAGCCACTCCGCTTCAATTAGTGAAGTCGATCTTGTTGTAGAGACAAGTCAACCAAGCAACTGAAGTTCAAACCCTACCGACGACACTCGATAGGCTTCGCTCGTCCTTAGTTCCAGGCCTTCGGAATTGCCACGTCAGAGAATTTAGATACGCCTGGCATTGATGAATATAGTCGCTCTAGACCCCTGTCAGCGGTTTAGTGCAGTCCACTCGGTACATATATATCACGATACTAAAAACCCCATAAGCAGCACCTCTGACCTGTGCCACATCTCAATCTCTTAATACGGTACAGAGTGCCCGATAAAGCATAGCAAATGCCTGGTATACCGATATTCATGAGGACTTCGGGCTCCATCGAGGGCAACACTGAGCCCAGCTACTTTGTAAGACGTCGCTCATATTAGTACCGAATCACTCAGTCAAACCCACTCCACTCATCTTCACCCCCGTCGTCTCCGTCACTCTCAACCTCCGAGTCCTCGCTCTCATCCTCCCCGCTCGAATAGGCCTCGCCCTCCGCCAGTACCTGCGTCGGGGCCGCAGCGGCATCCTCCAAGACCACAGGCTCCCCCGTTCTCTTCAGCACCGGCATTCCCGCCATGTCCCTCACGATTCGCCCGTCCTCGTCCCTGGCGTACGGCCCATCCTCATCGACCGAATCCTCACTGCCGTCCCGCGCGAAGGCGGCTACGAAGAAGCCCATGACGCCGTGGCCATCGCCCTTGTACGTCCGGATGCACGCCTCCGCCACGGCCTTGTCGCCTCCAGCCGCCTCGGGCAGCCCACGGACGGGCCACTCGCGCATCCCGCGGACCTGCTTCTCCCGCGGCAGGATCTTCCACCCGCGCTCCCTCGCGACCTCGGAGGCGAGGGCCTTGGTCACGACTCCCTCATTTTCCTCCGCGTGGATCGAGCAGGTGGAGTAGGATATCTTCTTCGCCGAGGGGAACTTCATCGCGTGGAGCAGCAGCGTCAGCTGAAACCCGGCCAGCGCGTCAAGGCGCCTCTGCAACTCCTGCTCGGACTGCATCTCGACGGCGTTGCCGTCGTCGTCGACCATCACCGGCTTCTGCTCGGCATGTTTCCGCTTGCGGCTGACCTGCGGCTTCCCCTTGGTGCCCTTGGCGGCGGCAGGGCCGGGAACCTCGGGCAGATGCAATTCCGGCATCGAATCCCGTCCCACGATACCGCTGCCCGAGCAGCTGGGGTCCAGGAGCAGGGCCCCGACGCTCTTGTAGGCGCCCGCCTTCGGGTCGACGTCCAGAAAATCCTGGCCCGGTCCGATCTTGGTCAGGCCCCTGCTGCCCGCGATCTTGACCATCTTCTCCAGCGTCTGCGCTCTCCGGGGGTCCCGCTCGAACGCGAAGATGGTCTGCTTCTGGGCGCCCTGCTCCGGCTCGTGCGACTTGACGATGGCGGCCAGGTGCGTCGTCTTGTTTCCGGGAGCGGCGCACGAGTCGATGACGTCGCCGTCCTCGGACCGCGGGTCGAGCAGGTACGCGGGAAAGCAGGAGGCCTTGTCCTGCAGAATGATCTCCCCCTTGAGGTACGCCGGCGTCTTGGTCACATCCGTTCCGGGCGATGCCGCCAACAGGTTGGGGACGTGCGCGTCGATGAAGATGGCCTTGCCCGCCGACTGCGTCACGGCCTCGACGGACGGCGCCCTCTCGTACGCCTTGAACGTCGTCTCGAGCTGGTCCTCCACAGTGCTCTTGAGCGAGTTCACCCGGATCCACCGGGGGTGTCTCCCCTCGGGGTCGGCGTTCGCGTTGACGTCCGCCCTCAGCGCCTCTAGGGACGGCATCTTCCTCCGCAGCCTCGCGCGGGTCAGCTCAGAGGCCAGCCTGGCCTTGTGCCGCTCTATAGACGTCCTAAGGCCATGGGACTGCGGCAGCGCAATGCCCTTCTTGGACAGGAGGAAGTCGTGCACCAGCAGCAGCGCCAGCACGGGGGTGAGCTGCGACGAGGTCAACGATGCCCGGGTGGGGGTGGCGCACGGGGAATCACCTTGCGTTCGTGGCGTAGGATCTCGGCCGCCTCGACAACCTCCTTCAACACGGCGCTCCACTTGCACGTCTCGAGCGCGAGGGCGTAGACTTGGGCGGGCGGCGACTTGAGGCCCTTTTTGCCAAAGACGCGGCTCTTGAGGCTGCCACCGTGGTCCGGGCTCGACGAAAGGATCTCGGCCGTCTCGTGATACAGCGACATGGCGGCGGCGACGATCCTGTCAATCAGCCAAAGAAATGCAGACGTCACCGGCGTTGGTTTCCGGCGTGGTGCATCCCGTCTCGGTGTGCGGTTGTGGGGAACGTCGGCGGTCGAGGTAAAGATTTCTGCGGTGGGGCACCATGGGTCCGGAGAATTTATGGGGATCGGCGGCAGCGCACAGGCGGCCGTTCAACTTTCCTGCGGGTCTGTCTTGTCGTCCTCCTTGCCGGACAACCGAGGAGTTATCGCTGGTATGGGCACACGAATCAGGGGATCTCCTGGCAGTGGGAAATGAGGTCAAATTCTTGCGCAGACGAAACCTTAAAACGACGTCGTGGCGGTCTAGGCCACGTGCCACGCAGTTCAATTGCTGGGCGCCTCAGACATCACACTACGCTTCGCTTGATGGAAGTTTCTGGTTCATTTTTATATAATCTACCAGAATATTGCCATTCCACGTTTTGTCTTTCCAAAATGCCTTCCCAAATGCGGAACATCTCAGCGGGATCCGTAAAAAGAATCGAATGTACGCGTCACGGAGACAAAGAAGCGAATCCATTCGACCCTTGCTCGTGTCCCTGGACTTCTCCCCTATCCGAGGTTATGTATGTATCTGATCATCATCGTCGTGAGAAGCAAGAAACAAATCGAAAAAAAAAAAAGATCGGCAGCGACGGCGGTGTTCTTCCTCGCACAGAAGGGACGCCCTCAAACCCCGCATTCCATACCCAGTGTGCGGATTCAAACCAGCCCTTGATATAAGTTCTTGAAAACTCCTCCTCAGCCACAGCCCTAAACTATTTAACGAAGAGAACTTTGGTAAAGTCACAAAAATATTCGAGTGTGAGGGGAAAACTATTTCAGGGTGGGCCAGCCCGCTTAGTCGTGGTGGCTGCGGTGACGGCGCATGTGCTCGTGGACGTGGCGGCGAGCTTTGCTGTAGTCGTCGGCCTCCGGGGTGGCGGTGGCAGCACCGGAATCCTCGGAGGGAGTAGTGACGGTGACGGTCTTCCACTCGATCCTGGTCTTGCGGATGCAAGATGTCTTCTTGGAGGGCTCGGAGCCGCCCAGGCTGACGGCGGGCGCGGTGGGAGCGGCCATGGCGGGCTCGGCAGGCTTGGTGCTCGCCTGCACCGGAGCAACCTGGATGGGCAGCTGAGAGGAAGCAGCGGCGGCGGAAGTCTTGGGCGCCTCTTCCTTGATGGCGGCACCGGAAGCGGCCTTGCTGGCGGAGGGCTGGGCGGACGCGACGGGAGGGGCGCTACTAGCAGGCTTGACCGCTACGCCGCTGCCACTACCGCTTCCGCCGACGAGGGGGCCGAAGGAGAAGCCGCTGAGGGGGTTGTCTCCGGGAAGCTTCTGGAGAACGCCATCAGTGACCTCGTCAATAGGCGAGGGGATCGTGCAGTTCATGTCGGTGTTGAGGCCCTTCAGCAGACCGGGGCACTTGTCCATGCCGGAGGAGCCGGCGTTGCAGTTGTCGATAATCTGCTGGAGGACGTCCTCGTCCCAGGCGGCGATGAAATCGGCATGAAGACTGTAGCCGGAGGCGTCGCCGTTGGAAAGGACGAAGGGTTGCGCGCCCTGGCCAGGTGTCCAGCGGCTGGCGAACTTGGGCGTGTCCCAGTAGACCTCGAAGAACAGGTGGGGGACGTGGATCCATCCCTCGGGGCAGTTCGCGCGGCGGGCGTTAGAGGCGCCCTTGCTGGAGGGCCAGGCCATACTCTCATAGTCGCTGAGCGCGGCCTTGGGGTTGTAGCACGAGGGCATGTGAATATCGGCGCGCAGGGGAGAGCCGAAACCGTCACAGTTCTGGTCGGGGAAACCGACGCCGGAGCCCTTGTTGTTGGGGTCGACGATGCCGGCGGTAGAGCCGTCAGAGTTGGCGGGGTACGAGGGCGGGTCGTAGCTCGACCTTGGGCAAGTCCACTGGACGGGCTGAATGGGGCCGTCCTCAGGCTCGAGGTTCTGCTTTCCGCCGGTAGAGGGCGGGGCACGGACGGAGGCGTTGCCACTGAAGATCTGGAGGCCGCGGGGGAAGGCCTTGATCTCGTCGTCGGTGGCTTCGAAGCTGTGAATGTTAGCTTGTTTCACCTGGCAGAAACTTCGACACTCACAAGTAGTAGACGTTCACATAGAAGACATCGACCGACTCGAAAGCTTGGGTCTTGGGGTCGTGGAAGTACAGGGAAGGGAACCAGTAGGCACTGTCGTCGCCGCTGATCATGGCGTTGCTGCACTTGGATTGGGCAAGGGTCTCGCCAGTGGCCGACATGCCAAAGTTGCTGCCTCCCATGATGCCGTGGACGTGGGTGGAGATCTTCCCGGGGTCGATGATGGGGTCAACGCGGGCCTTGACGAGCTGCTTGTTGTTGAAGCGGAGGACGGCGAAGGTTCTGTCGTCGGACCTGGAGCCGGCCGAGGCGGCGCCAAAGAGCGTGGCCAGCGAGGCGGCGGCAGCGAACTTCATGGCTGCGGTTGATTTGGGGGATGAGATGTAAGAGGTGGAAAGGGCGGTCAGGTATAAGGCGGTCCGTGGGAGTCTTGCTGGTTTTGGGTAAAGACTGTGGTTGCTGCTACCGGAGCACCTTTCGAAAAGAGTGGGTGATTGCTCGGAGATGGCGGTGACTCGGATGAGTGGGTGAGTGAATGAATGGAATCAGACAGATCAGAGACGTTGTCTGGGTGTGGTAATGAGAGGCGTGCTAAGCAAGCTCAGCTTTTGGTTTTTGAAAAAGAAGAATGAAGGAGAGAGAGAAGAAATGACCAGCAAGGTTCGACAGTGTCAAAACGGTGGAATGGGGAAGGTGAGGTCGAGTGTAAATCACGGAGGGAGGAAGTGGGCGATATAAACATCAAGCATCATGGACGACGACAGCGTGTGGCCGTTGGCGGACGCAAGGTACCTGGGATGAGGGTTCGGATGGTAATCCACCAGCACTAAGAAGACGCTAGGAGGGGTGGCCAGATATGCTCGGCCGTGACGCCATGGAGGATCCGCGATAGCGCGAGCCTTGGAAGACTGGCGATGCAAGTCGACCCAAGCGCAGGGCGTAGGGGAGTGAGGGGTGAGTGTATAGCATGTATTGGCGGAGAGTCAACGATGGGATTCTGGCAAGTTCGGACGAGCAAAGTACCACCTTAGGCGCTTGAGGAGACGGAGATGAGTGGCTGGTTTGCGTGTAAATTGCACACTGCACCACCAGCAGACGGGCGGGGAGAAGAAACGAAACGGCGGCAAGCTGAGTGACATGCTGACGGCCCCTTGGCCGACCCACTCTTGCGGTTTCCTCTATTATCTACTCAGTACGGAGTATGTACGCAGTACTCCGTAGTACGTAGAAGAACGCACTGAATAGGGGGCGGAATGCACAAAAAAAAAAAAGTCGGGATGGCATGTTCCTGCAGGATGCATAAAATCCTCAGTAGCCCATTGGCTGAGTCCGGGCTCGGCTGCTGACTTTGTGCAGGTCCGCGGCCGACTCGTCGCGCAGTGTGACGCTGGGGCTGTCCTTAGCCCCCGAAGTCTCTCTTCTTTTTCTTCACTAGCGCTGCGCCGCGCAAAGTGGCGTCCAGTCACTGGGAGCTGAGGAGAGGTACTGCCAACGGGCTTCAAGCGCCCGTTTGTGGCGGGAATTACCTGTGCTTGGAGCCGAACACCCAAACGACACCATTTGACGCTCAGGGCTTGGTGGCGGTCTTGAGACACTGCACCTCGCTATTTTCCAGGGGCAAGGCAAGCCGAAAATGACGTGTTGCCGGCTTGTTAGATTGCTTTGTTTGTTCAGCTGGTCTGCCCCGAGTACACGCACTATTATCAGGTGCAATGTCGTCGCCGTGGAAGAAAGAGCACGTGATGCTGCTTCCCTGATAATCATGGCAGCCCCTCCTTTCCTTGATATAGGGGGGGGCCAAAGGCCATGATTTCTGTTCTTCGCTGCCTCAGTTTCGGCAGCGAAACGAGTAACTGGGAAGACATCAGGGGGGACAGCTAACCTTATCCGGGCAAGCGGTTCCTGGGCTGCTTGTCACGCTTAGGCAGGGGTTCCCCCCTGCGAGCCAGATTGCAGGGGCTCAGCGGCCTGAGAAAACCCGAAGACCATTCGAGGACGATTGGGTCGATTCGCCTGCCTTGACCGAACACTGAGCTCGCTCGCTTGTCAGACCAAACCCCCGCCGTGCGGAATTCGAGGGTCAGCCTTGGTGAAACTACACCGACGCACAATCGAGCAAACAATCCCTTTCTTGCCTCCAGCCGGAATTGGAATGCCCATGTCTCTCCTCTCCCACGTTGCTGCCCGGACCAAAGATTTTCTAGCTGCATAACTTGGGCGCCCGACACCACCACCTCGGCCTCGTCGGGGGCATGGTGCCCGAATTGAGTCCGCCGCCGAGCGATCCCAATCATTCTTGCGGATGACGTTCCAAGAGCCGGTCATGGATATAGCCCTAGTGAATCCGGCGAGGCCTAGACTCTGTCGATGCTAGCCTTCGTTCTGTCATGACCCCTGTCACGAAAGCCCACAGGCTCTGACCCCTGGTTGGTGTTCATCCCATGTCTACCCGCCTTCTCGAGAAACAACCACGGGCGATCCGGCCGCTGCCCCCGACTGCCCCTGACGAGAGACGCTGGAAACGCGCCACACAATAATATGTCTCCCAGGGGCAACACCTACACCTGCCGCTTGCCGGCGCTATTCCTGCTGACACGCACGACCTGGTCGATACACCTGGGTTGTCGAGCACCCGTAGCTTCCGCCTGACTTTGCACCAACTCAACGCGGGTGACAGGACGCCAGCATTGAGTGGTGGTTTGACATGTCTGAATAACGCCTTGGAGGGTATTGACAGTCCACTTGTCTTCAGACATTCACCGCCATCATTTCCACATCGTCGTCAGTTTTCAACACCGCCTCCTTTGTCGTCTGCGGGCGGAGCGGCATCCACCCGCGTTTTGTAATGTGGACGTGCATGGTATTGTGCAACGCTACAGCGGCTCGTCTTCGGTACCGCCAGCCCCAAAGATGGTGTTTGCACGAGAAGGTAAAGGCCTCGGCCGGGATGAATGAAGAGCGAGACTGATGATACAGTCTATCTCCAATACGGCAGGCTCTGTTGTCTGAGCAGAGCGGCTCTCTCTCTACCATGTAAGCAGGTCCGCCCAAGCCAACAAACGAATACTGCGAGCCAGACATCGACGACCGCAAAGTGTTGGTGAAACAGATTGTCCCCGAAGCTGGGACAAACGACATTGCTTGGGACGGAGCAATCACCGCCCGCAACCATCTCGTCTGCAGCACGCTGTCAGCACGGATGAGCACCTTGCCATCCCATTCGCCTATCTTGCTACATGGCCTCTTAGGTACTGCACCTCTCGACCGCCACCGGCAGTTTGGCATGCAACCTTTGCTTAGCTTTCTCATTCATGTCGGAAGTTGCGACGATCTTTTGATGAGATGACAGTTGCTCCTGTACTTAATCTCTGCCTTCCAACCCCCCCCCCCGTCCCCGCTTCCCCCCGGGGCAGGTTTAACCTGATCGCTGCGCACGAAGCCAGACGGTGCCATGATGCCATCCCATGTCCAGCACGTGTCGCCGAGTTCCGAGCTCCCACCCAGCCTGAACAGTCGTATAGCGAAGCTAGCTTGCCCTGGCAGAGCAGAGGGCGAGCACACTACCGTTCCCGTCCCCCGTGAGGGGTTTCCCTCATTTTCGCCTATGTGGCCGGCGCCGCTTCGGCCCTGGGCCTTGCTGCTAGCGACTCCAAAAGCCTCGTCCCTGCATAAGCGTATTCACCACCGCTCACCGGCGCGCGTCTAG